TCTCTTTCAGGTTGTAACTCAATGTAAATTTAAGTCCCCTAGTCCACATCCTTTCCCATTGATCATATTCAATATTATATCCAAAATTGTTTACCCACTTGATCATACAATCTTTAGTTCGTACATCTTTCAATTTTAAATGTAATAATACTTTATATATCTTGGCAATCATGTGATCAGTCTCGAAACATATTTGACTGTCCCACCAGGTTGGTTCTTTTGTAAATCTCTATCTTTTCACATCTAATTTAAATTGTTCCTTTAGTTGTGCATACATAAACCAGTGGCAAGGGTGCTAATCTTTTTCTAATTTTTCCTTTGTTTTCATTACGTATTTATCTCCTTCACATTTCAATAGATCGCTGCACTTCAACCATTTATAATTTTCTATATTTTCTCACCTGGCGAAAGCTTCCTGGGGAGATATCCAGAGGGGGAGGCTTGATGTTAGTATTGGTTTATATTTTCCCCAAATTCTAAAAATGGATCTTCTAATGATGATTGAAGTCTTTATTTGCTTCAATTTTATCATACCATAGGTGACATTGTGATATCACTAAAATGGGTGTGGCCATGATGTCCAGAATGACAATATTCTGGTGATTTTTAATTTTTCTACTGAAAATCTGGAAAAAAATAGTTTGCTGGGTTTTTTGTGGCAAAATAGCAGGCCACTCTGGTGACCACAAAAAGGAGATGGAGATCTACATTGGGCCCATGGGCTGTACATCTTTGCTCTATAGCAAGACTAGCCCAAATCACATGGCAGGACTTCTAGAAGTGTCATGGCTGAGGATTCAGACTCTGACTCTGACAAAGCTGCTCCAGTTGAACTGTGGAATGTCAGCCTCAGGAAACACCAAGCCAAGAATCACCTGAGGCTGATCAAACAAGGCATCATTTGAACAGGTGGAGCAGTCAGATGATGAGGTGTGGCCCCCAACCCTTGGACTTGGTACACGGAGCAGAGAGCAGAACAATGATGCTCAGTGAGGCTTGATGCGTGATGTTTTTGTGGATTCTGCTCATGAAACTCTGACCCTTGGACTGGCTGACTAACCTGATTTGGCTCTCTGAACTTGGACTGGATTTTGAACTTCTCTCCTGCTGAAAGCGAAACCATTAAGCAAGCTTTCTTCCTCAGAGTTTTGTGTTGATTTATGATCCTCCCTTAGTCTGCTGTTATCTGTTTAACTTTGAAGTAAATTGCTAATCTCCATAGCAACTGTGTTTGAGTGTGTAACTGAAACCTGAAGCAGGACAGGAGTGTCACTGCTGCCACATTGAGGCTCCTGAAGACTATCCATCTTTCTGGTGCCTCTCCACCTTTCTGTGAAAAATGTTAGAATGGTTTGACATAGTCATGGTGGATTCTGAGTGTTGTGATGCCATCTGATGATGCCCTCTCAATACAAATGTCAATGATACTTCTCTCAGTTCTCAAAAGTTAGTCATATAGTAAGAAATTTGTAAGGAACAGTACAGTACACTTGGACTGTTTGAGTTTCTAAGTTTTTGAACGTTTGAGGTAAGACAAGCTGCAGGATTAGTGGGGAGGGCTAGTGGAGAGGTGATGGTATTCACTCTCTCATCTGCATGGAGATAACACCTGCTTTATGCTATTATAGTGTCACAAAATAGTTTCCAATTTCCTAATTCTCAAAAACTCTTCACAAAATAAAACAAAAAAGAGTGAGGAAGAGAAAAAAAAAACAGCTATTGTCAAGACAAGAGCTCTGTTAAATTCTGGTGTGATGAAATGTAGAAGTAAGTCAGAAACATGCACATTGACTTATATTAGATATGTGAGGTGAGTTCAGGTTGCATCAGCTTCTCCCAAGATTTGCTAGGACAAAGAAATATAAACCAAATAAACACAGAATCAAATAAATGAAATTTAGTCTCCCATATCTGAAATATTAAATCCAGCTATTAATTCCAACCTGTTAATCAAATAACTCTAATGAATATTCAGGCTTCCATCAGTTGCAATATATTAGAGACTCACTTTGACTGGTTACCAGACCACTTTCTGAACTGATCATGGAACAATATAAACAATGTCTTAGGCCACAATTATATAAATTAGGTGTGCAACCTCTACCCTAAGGACAGTGTTTTGCCCTTGACTCCTCTTTTTGGAAGCTACAGAGCCACCTCTGAGCATGCTAATTGAAAACCGATGACACGGTTCCTGCCTTTTTGTAAGCTCTAAAATAGCATAAGCCCTAAAATAGGTTTTTCATAGTGTGAAAAAAAAATAGAACCATCAAAACTCCCCCAAACGACAGCCTCATTCATATATATTGTGTGTGACCCCATATATTTTGTA